TTCAAGCTGCTAGTATTGTCCCCCATCAGCATCATCTGCGGCATCTACGTCGGCGTGGTCTACGCATATCTTTATCTATTATTCACCAGCTTGACCCCTCTCTTCATGGAAATCTACCACTTCAAGACGAGCTTCGCAGGCCTCACCTTCCTGGGAATCGGCATCGGCAGCATGTTCGGCGTCGCCTTCTTCTCCCTCACCAGCGACAGGACCATCAAAAAGAAGGCCGCGGAAGAGGCCGTGGCGGCAGAGGCAGAGGGCAGAGCGCCCGAAGGCATGAAGCCCGAGTACCGCCTCTCGCCCCTCATGGTCGGCGCCCTCGTACTGCCCATGGGCTTCTTCATCTACGGGTGGACCGCCGAGTACCAGGTCCACTGGATCGCACCCATCATTGGTACCGTCGTGATTGGCGTCGGCGATCTCATCGTCTACATGGTAAGCCCCCTATTCTCTCACCAATAGAAAACATCCAGCTAAGCGTCACCAACCTCTAGTCCCTCCAAATGTATCTCGTCGACACTTTCACAATCTACGCCGCCTCCGCCCTCGCCGCAAACGCAGTCATCCGCTCCATCGCAGGATCCGTCCTCCCCCTCGCCGGCCTGCCCATGTACAACCGCCTCGGCATGGGCTGGGGCAACAGCATCCTCGGCTTCATTGGTCTAGCGCTATCACCCATCGCATGGCTGTTTGTGAAACACGGCGAGACACTGCGGAAGAGATTTGATATTAAAAATTTATGAGAGAGCATTCCACCCTTTTTTCTTTTACCCTATTTTCTAGACTTGCTCCAAACGACACGATTTTAGACACCACATTATCAACAAATACAAACGCCAAACCATCACACCACTACTTCTACCTTTGCATCAAAAAGTCGAATGGGTTCGGTTGCATAGGATATTTTTAATCACCGGGAATCGGGCAAACATACTCGAGATGGAGAGTAGAGGCCATTCAACTATATGATATACAAAAGCATAGGGAGTGCTAATTGGAAAGGGATGATGTATTTATATCAAGTGTGATATACCCACTGGGAATCTATAAAGTGCCATGATGGCCAGAATAAATGATGAACGTCTAATATAACATCACGCAGATATTTCGACATGTGTATATTCGACGTGTGTGCATTCGTACATTTTGTCACTTTCACAAACATATCGCCAAAACTTGGGAGCCTCTTATGAGGTAATGCTCTTTTTCATTCGTTAAGACGTAAAGTTTTGTTTTTTTGTCATTAATTGATAGGTGAACCTGCATGCAACCGCCTCAAAAAACTACCTTGGCTAGCTTCATACCTCGGGCGTTGTTGCGTTTATACCATCATAGGCCATTCAAGCACTTCGTTTTTCTCTCTTCTTTCTTTAAAACAAAAGAAAAATGCATTCCCATTCTTCCCAAATCCAGCAAATGATTTCCCTTTTTTTTCTTTCCAATTCCCATCGTCTAAGCCATCTGTCCGATGCCCAGGTGGTCTGGGTCAGCGCGGACAATGCGCAGGGTGTTGGTGTTGCCCATGCCGCCCTTCCAGCCCTGGACGACGACGACGGTGTCGCCGGCAGTCAGGGTGCCGAGCTCGATGGCGTGGGTGACGGCCCACTTGATGCGCTTGTCGACATCCTCCTGCCAGTTGACAGTCTCGAAGTCGGGCTTCTGCTCGGGGTACAGGAAAGGATAGACACCACGGTACAGGTGGCTGAATCGAGAAGTGGTGGGGTTTCGGGTCACCATGAAGATGGGGCAGATGGGGCGGTACTTGGACAGCAGACGGGCTGAATCTCCAGAGGTGGAGAGAACAATGATACCACCGGCTCCGAGGTCCAGGGAAGCGCGGACGGCAGCCATGGCGCAGGACTCGACGGGGGAGACGGGGCGCTTCACCAGGGTGCACAGCTCCTCGAAGTGGGAGACGTAAGGGATGGTGTTCTCAGCCTTGAGACTGGCCTCGTGCATCTCACGGACGGACTCGGCGGGGTAGTTACCCTTGGCTGTCTCACCAGAAAGCATGACGCAGTCAGCACCGTCAGTGACGGCGTTACCAACATCGCTAATCTCTGCACGAGTAGGACGAGGGTTCTTGATCATGGACTCGAGCATCTGGGTAGCACAGATGACGGGCTTGCCAGCAATGTTGCACATGGCAATCATCTTCTTCTGGGCAGCGAAGACCTCGGCGGCGGGGATCTCAATACCCAGGTCACCACGGGCGACCATGACACCGTCGGTCTCCTCGAGAATCTCGGCAAAGTTGTTGAGGCCCTGTCGGTTCTCGATCTTGGCAATGATCTGGATCTGCTTGCCCTCAGGTCCCAGGACGTCACGGATATCCTTGATATCCTGAGCACGGCGGATAAATGAGGCAAAGACCATGTCGACACCGTTCTTGACACCAAACCGAAGGTCGGCCTTGTCCTTCTCAGAGAGAGCGGGCAGGTCGACGTCGGTGTTGGGCAAGTTGACACCCTTTCGGGAGGAGATGAATCCATTGTTTCGGGCACGGACCTCGACGGTCTTGTCGTCCTTGATGCTCAGCACATCAAAGGCAAGGACACCGTCGTCGACGTAGACGACACGACCAGGCTGGATCACCTTGGTGATGTTCTTGTAGTCGACATACCTATGACGTCGTCAGCACTTCGCCCAACCATGAGCCATGAGAGAGGACAATGGAGGGGGGGTGGTAATGTCTGTCTGTAGTCAAGAATAGCATAGGGCATCAATTAGGACCCAAGCAGTCCCGCCCGTTGGCATTCATGCATGACATTACCACCACAAAGAGGGGCGGGGAGGGTGTCTGCCGTGCCCCTCCCTCCGTGCCCCTCCCCCTCCCTGGACGAACAAAGAAATTCTTACATGTTCTGGGTGTCACAAGCAGTGATGTATTTCTCATCGGTGGTGATGTTCATGACGGTGCCGACGGTGATGGGAATGTCCGCATCGCCGGCGGTGTTGCCGGTACGGATCTCGGGGCCCTTGGTGTCGAGGGCAATGGCGACGGGTCGTCCAGGGTGGACGTCAACGGCAGCGCGCACATTGTCAATGACAGACTGGTGGTACTCGTAGCTGCCGTGGGAGAAGTTCATACGGGCCACGTTCAGGCCGGCATCACGAAGCTTGTTGAGGGCCTCGACCGAGTTGGTCTTGGGGCCGATGGTGCAGATGATGGCGGTGCGGCGAAAGTTGCGGGCAGGGGTGAAGGCCGTGTTGAGGGAGGCCAGCCAATTGATGCGGCCACCGATTTCCAGGTGCTCCTGGGCCGTGGTCGCCATGATGCTGACGGTGCGAGAGGGCTTGGGGATCTGGGACATGGTTAAGAAGGGGTTCGGCGTCGAGCACTACAAAGTCAAGCCGGTCGGGAGAGGGAGAAGTGGTTATGCTCACGAGTCAAATAGATTCGTCAGGCTCCCGTGAGAAAGAGATGACGATGAGAGAGAGAGTGCAAAAGACTGCGTAGAAGATGATTGAGGGAGGAAGCAGACGAGGATGGAGAGGGAAATAAATAAGGATAAGAGAGAGATCAGATTCGACGACCCAAGGAGAAGAAAGAAAAAAATCCACGCCTAAGCAACGGCAGAGCAGTCGATTAGGTGATGCTACCTCAAAACTATGTGGTGTGGAGGGGGTGGGAAAGGCGGCAGCCGTCAGTGGTTGGTTTTTTTTTTTTTTTTTAGGTTGTTTTTTTTTTAATCCTGGGCTGGCTGTAGCTTCGAGGTACATGTATCGAGGTATTGATGCCTCACAGTCAGGCGGCAAAGGGGATCTGTGAGCCAACGGCGGCTCCGGATTGGCCAGCGCGAGGCGTATCGAGAGGCGAGCGCTGATTTCGGTGCTAATCCCAAATGCTAACGAAGCCCACTGGAGGTCATCAATTCTCCAACTCAACATGGAACTGGAACTTACTGCCCCTCCTCAAAGCAAACAGCAAGCCAGGCCAGGGTACATACAGGCGAGGGGCACTAATAGAGGGGCACCTGGGCTGGAAAAAGGGACCGGCCGCTAGTCTCACCGTTATCTCTGGCGCAGCGTAAAAGAAACCGACCTCAGTATGTAAGTAATTGCATCCATTACCTGTACTGTAATCCGGCACGCCGTAAACGGACGGCGGGGCGGAGTGCAGAAGAAGAGTGCGGAACATTTTTTTTTTTTGGCTTCTTTTGGATTTGGCCCTGGCTGGATATCATAATATGATACGGAGTACAGCACCGGCCATTATACATCCATCGATATGTACTAGGCATCCATATGTATGTATGATTACGCCGGGGGATTTTGTTGCATCTGACATCAAAACTGCCCTCGCCGTGCTCCGTGCTCCGTATTGCGCTCATCGTGAGGCATTTGCAGCTGCCACTCCCGCCGGTGCCGCCCCCGGCACTCCATCCAATGCTATCGCTGAGGATTCCCGTCCTCCTCAGCGTGGCCAACAGTATAAGCACTGCCCCTTGCTGCCACGGAATACAAAGGGGATTTGGGGAAATGCTCCGTGTTTCGGCTCGTCTCAACAAAAAAAAACCGACTCGGTGCTACTCGTACTCGTACCGTCTTGTCGAGCCTTTCCCCCACGCCGCACGCCGTTCTCTCTAGCACCGGATCGTAGTGAGAGTTGACGTGGTTGGACGAAGCGCGAGGCTCGGGGAATGAGGCATCCACGGATCCCTTCTCAGCTCGTGGCCTGTGATGTCGGAACAACAAAATCGGGCAACACGTCAGACGTCAAGTTTTGTGCGCTCGCAATCCTGTGCCTCATTCGTTTTTGCCCTCGCAATCACCCGATGCTCTTTGCAAATCCCGCGACTGTCGTGATGTTTGCTAATACGGGCAATTAGCACTCAGTCCACTCTTATCGGGGATACAGTTGACCTTTCGGGCCTGTTTTTACCTCTTTTTACCTCTTTTTTTCTTTCTTTTTTGCCCCTCTATCCTAATTAGGATTAGAGTTGGAGATGCAGGCTTGGCCCGATTAGTCCAGCCTCTAGCGTTGTTGAGCTCGCTGCATGACTAAGCCAAAGCTTGTGATTCTGCTGACTCATCGAGGGAGCTCTGCCTCTGGCGCCAATCCGGAAGATGAGGCGCCGATCTCCGAAAATCCCAGCGTCGGTCGGATGTGCAAGCGCAAGCGCAAGCACGTGAGTTGGGGCGGTGCCGTCACCTCAGCTGTTTCTCCAGCCTCCAGAGCTTGTACTCGCACCAGCCTCTCACCGTTGCGACACCCCTTGCGAGTTGCTCCAGATCTCCCACGACGAACAAAAAATCTCCGTTGCGGCCTCTGATTTTTTATTCCTCGGATCGAATCGGATCGGAAAAATCAGTCACCATGGTGGTACGTTCCCCCCCGATCCAAATCCCCCGCCCCGGTTCCTGCTTCCGTGCTGGCCCTCCGCCGCGGCGTCCTCGGAGCGCTGCGCTTGGAGTCGTGTCAGATGTCGCTTGCTTGACTGGCCTTTCTAAAGACTGATGGCAGCTTCTCGACCTGCTGACGCTGGGCCTCTGGTCAAAGGTTGGACGTTTGACGCACTATGCTTTTGACGCCGTTCTCTGTAAGAAATCTCTTGGCCCGCTCCCTTGTCTTGTGTTTTTGCGATGCCGAATGTTTACTAAATTTGCATGTGACAGTGTCGGCTTTCCTCGCCGGCGTGAAGCGATCGACCGGCTTGACGTGAGTTTACTAGAGCTTCATTAATGCACAAGCCTTGTGTTTTCGTCCCTCGGACCGGCGCGTTAACGGACCACCAGTTTCAAGAGCGACAAAGTTGCTGGCGAGAACAAGGAAGTCTCCAAATGGATCGACAAGTACCTCGGCGTCGGCGAGTGGGTGATGGACCAGTCGGTTGCCATCGCCGGCTCCAGCGGCTTCTTTGAGCGCAAGCGATGATTTCTCGCAACTCGATCAGACCACCTCCTTTTGAGCAGCCAAATTCAAATACCGGGTTGGTGACATCGCGGCGAGGGTAGTTGCCGAGCCATTTCGCTCCAACCTGTCTGGTTCATGGAACTCTGAGGTTGCAATTTTCTTTTTTTTTCTCTCCCTTGCCAAAGGAGTGCAAGCGCGTTGGAATTATGAATAGCTGTGCCTGAGCAAAGGGCCGAGGGAAATCCCCCAACAAGTTCAAGCTCGGTTTGAGCTATTATGACGGATGAGCAGTGCCAAAGTCATGTTTTTATCTGGGCGTTTGAAGGAACAACTGGGTTGCTTCATTGATGTAATTGCTGAATATGATGAAATGACTCAACTACGCAAAAAATAAGAAAAGAAGACGAAAACGAAATGCCGACGAGGTGACTCTTGCTCTTATCATTTTTCCATCCACCCGGCTCAAATTCTGGCTTGGTCGCATCTCCACAAGTTCGTGATCGTTCCACTTAGCCGAGGTTACCCAGGCGCTAACATCTTCTCGAACAGTGAGGCCAAGGCAGCTCACTCACATGTAAGCTCCTTTTGGCTACAATGTACATTGTTGAGAGCATTCGAATATCTCACAATAGTAAAAGATAGAATTATATCAGGATCGCTATTATTTTCATGATGTGTGGTTTGAACCCGTGACAAACCATGTCCGTGGATACTCCAGGGACAAATGGTGGAAGAAAGATGCATCCCAAAAGATCAGAAAGCAACACATAAACCTGCAGTCAAACAATGGTAGGCGAAAAGGTCATATTGAAGAGGGGACCATCGAGTTCACGATTAAAAAGCTATGTAGTTGCAAGTTTCAAATGGAAGGGATGGTAAAGGGGTAGGCAAACAAGGCTCGGGGATTAAATTGAGGCTATACGGTGGAGCATTGCTTATAACAGCTTCCCGATTACAGCTGCCGGTCTTGGGTGCATATAAGCAGAAATCTGCCTTGTAATGGTTTGAAATTCTGCCCATAGGATTTATCCTTGTGTATAGTTATCATACTAGGTAGCTCTATGCACTGAAAAAACATACACCCAAGTGTTTCGGTGTGCGTACAGCTAGCTACTAAGTGCTCTGTAAGCTGTTTCAAGGGTTGATTACAGTATGCCGAGGAGATTTCGATCTATTGATAGTTCGCAATATCTTGTCTTTATACTTTCCTATATATTCCAATACCTACCTACATTTATGAAATATCATCACATATAGTCGGTGACGTCTACGTGTTCGAATTCGGTTGCCTTGCCAGAGGGGTCAAGTCCATGATCTTTTAAGCAAGCAAAGGTCCGTCCAACGGATCTTAACAGTTGATTCTTCTCAACATAATTGCAAAAGCTCCGAGAAACTGTCACTGCTCTTGAGCTCGCTATGCAAACAGACTTTGAAACACGACTGAAAATTGCGGTGTGTCTTAAGCTTACTTGTCAGGTTGGATAAATATAGCAGGTGTCTAAATCTTGTAAGCAGACAAATTATGTAGCAGCAGTACCCTCTTCGAACGCTTCCTTGTTTCGGACATCTCCTTGCGAGTCTATGGAGTAGGCATTACGCATGTAGTAATAGTGAATTCAGTACATTATGTAGCCCAGATCCGAGGTTTGACAAAATCTATATAAATCTATATACATATCTGTTGTTTACTCCAGCTCAACCGTCTCAATCACTACTGATCCACTGTCAAACATCAAAACGCATCCTCTCTGCTTCTTCATCAGCTTCAAATCTCTTTTCCATTACCCTCTTCTATAACCATTGTCCTCGACGTCTCAAAACTTTACAATCATCCACCAACATGTCCTGCAAGTCACTAGATCCCTCAAGCGGCATCTGCTTCGCCAGCAGCAACAACCTCACCTTACTACTCTCAACCTTCAAAGATTGCTGCGACCTTGCTCCCATCGTCCAGTACTACGACAGCTCTATTGGATGCAGTGCTTATTGTCCCCTCATGCCCAATGGCCGAAAGGGCCGTTCGCTCCGGGATTGCCTTGCCGAGAATCTGAAGACTGCCTCGTGCTTTATGCCAGATGATGTTGCTGCTGCTCCAGGCGTTATTGCGCAAGCCAGCAAGGCTGCTAAAGAGCCTGTTTGCTCGGCTTGCGCTGCTGCATCGGCGACGACGACGACTGGGGCTGCGGTTCGGATGTATAGTGCTGAAACAAGTTCATGGAAGACTGGGCTTACCGTTGGGGCCGTGTTATTTACTGGAATGTTCGCTGGGGGGTTCTTGATTTAACATCTCGACCGCGAGGGTGACTGTTGAACATTCGAGCATTTGTTGCATTGAATAGACAAAGGAAAGCACAATGTTGGCGACGACTATGTGAAGGAGGGCCATGGAAAATATTAGACATCATTTCATCGCTTAATCATTAATTTCGTTCTCTAACATCTAATATTACCTTCCACGCTGAAAGAAAGGATAGTCACAAAATATGTAGTAGTCCAGGGTATAACTCCAGTCGCTGAAGAACCACCACCAAACAAAGATACACCAGCAAGAGACGCCGTCATTCAATGGCGTCATTTGAATGCGCCAGAGAGCCGAGAGAAGAGCTTCTATGCGTGCTCTGCCAAAAACTCGGGCGGCACTTCGTTCTCGCTGTCGTACCTACGCAGCGGCGCGCCATCAGTGTTGGCCGCATGAGCATGCTCGTCATCTCTGTCCTGTTCACCTCCGAGTAGGTCCGCGGGCACTTCATTGTCGCTCTCTTCATCGGCTGAGTGGCTGCTTTGTCGCGCAGGTCGGTCCTCTGGCTCTGATTTTACCTCACTCGGCTCATCCTGAGTGCTGGCGAAAGGCTCCTCAGGAGGATGGACCAAGCCTTCAAAGACGTTGCAGCCCTCTTTAAAGGCCTCTAGTTCAGCGCCGATGGCGCAAATCAAGAGATTCCAGTGCTTTTCTTCCGCCAGCTGCATGTAGCTCTCCAGCTCCTCAATCACTTGCCTCATTCGTGAAAGCTGAGACGATATGATTTCCTCTGGAGTGGGCACTTTTTCTTTGCCTTTTAAGCTCGAGTTTGAAGGGGATGGAGCGCCATTCTGCATGGCCTGTCGTAAATCTGCCTCAAATGTAGATACCAGGTGCGTAACCTTGTCCCAAACTTGGCCCCCTTCTTCCAACGCCAGCCGATCTGTATCAATCCGCTCTTTGCAGCGCTCCAATACTGACATTTCCGCCTCCCACCACGATTTTGCCATTTCTAGTGTCCGTCGCTCTGGGATAAGTCGCATAAACTCAACCCCCCCTGAAGCGGCCGGATCTCCCTCAACCTCGCCGCCGTGGTTTAGGAGATCCGGGTCAAGTGGTTGAATTGGTGGATGCTGTACGAATGCCTTGACTTCGTTTGTCACGTCTCTCAATGCGCCGTGGTATCCACTTAGCCCTGCTTCTCTTTTGTTCTTGATGTCGTCCATTCTTTCTTCCAATGTACGGCACTGGAAGCGCATGGCCGCTAATCTCTCCTCGAGCTGCTGGATTTCTTCGCTCAGGGCACCATGCTGCGTACCCAGTTCTCGCAGCTCTTTCGCCAGCGGTTCGTCGCCGTTTTCCTCCAGATCATGCAGCTCTGCCTGAATATCAGATTTCCTGGTACCCAGCCCATCCAGGTAGTTGAGGGCGTCTTCTCGTTGTGCCATGGCCTCTACTAAGTGGGCATTTTCGTCTCGTTTGAGCTTCGTCATGGAGGCAATCAATTTCCGGAGATCGTCCCGTGTAGATTTCAGCCCAGGGGGCTTATCGTTCGCCGGCTGCCGAATTGGAACCACGTTGCCGTCACGGGTGGCCCGAGGTGGTACATAGAGGGAGCTAGCCATTCTCGATTTGGAGCTCTTTGTAGAGTAAAAGGTGCCAGTTGGTGTGCTGCTGCCTGTGCTGGAGGTGTCGTTCACATTGCCAGATCCAGCTGCCAACGCGGCGGCCTGTTGATCAAGCAATCGCTGGACGTCTTGCTCCAACGCCTTCTCTTGCCTCCGCAAGCCTCGCCAGATGGAATCTGTGTTGTGCGCACCAGCTTCACGTCTATGATCGAACAGTACGCTAGTAGCTTCGGTAGGGCTCCCACCAAGAAGACTGTAGGGAGTATGTTTGCTGCGACCTGAAGGGCCGACAGAGTTTGCCCGGGCCGAGTCCTTGCTTAGCATCATTGACGCAGTTATCGGCGGCGGTGGACCAGCAAACATTGCCCTTGGCTTCGTCTTGGAGTATGACTGAGCCGGACTGCCCTTGTCCCGCCATGTGCTTGGGGATTGCCCGCGAGACGTCGCTGATTCCTCATAGTCGGCCAGCCAAGCTCTAGGCAGGTCCCCATCGGCCGATAAGGCATCGTCATGCCGAGGATCCAGTTCGTTGAGCTGATATTCGCTAGGTGATCGAATCGGAGGTTTATGGAAGGGTAGACCCGGCGAGTTGCGATGGGGGCTTGCTATGCGATCGAAAAAGGACATGGTGATGTTTCTGGATAGAGGGGAGCTCTGTCGTTGCGTTGTTCGAGACGGCGAGGAAGAGCGATTGACGGAGAGGCCGCGGAAATTCAGAGCCAAGAGCAGATCCAAGCTAGAATTATTTTATATGAAGCATGGAGAAGGAATATTCGGCGGTGGTGGATAGGCCATGGAGCGTGTTGTCAAGCTTGCTCACGAGGACAGGTATGGACGAAGTCGAGGCATGTGCCTGGTTCCGGAGCTTATCAAGGCAGTGGCCGGAGCTTGTACTCGCATCTGCCGATAGCACTACAGACTGTGCACCGGACAATTGGCTGGCAATTTCTGTACTCGTGGATTGGTGCGCACCACTTTGGGGACGTAAGTCGCTTCAGCCCGGGTTGATTTGATCGATCGTTGATGATGTGGTGAGTGCAGAGAAGCGCGGGCTGTACTTTGGAGCTTTTCTGCAGCTCAGACAACTAAAGCGGGCAGTGTTGCCATCGCCGCTTTTGTCACTAGCATGCAACGGACAAGGCAGTTTGGCCATGCATTAAGAAATATTGTGCAAAGAAACATCAAATATAGGTAATGAGAAACGACTTGTTGATTATAAGGAATAGATCATGAAGATGCTTGTAAATTCAACTCACTTCGTTGCTACCGCCGTCAAGCTTAACGTGCCCACCTATCAATAGGTACTCGTACCACAAGATGCGCTGATGAGTCGAGACTAGAGCCATCTCTCGCCAGCAAACCCCAAGCCTTCAGTGTCTGACATAATTGATTTGCCGAACGGAGCTTGCCGCGCGTCCGTCCTGTATCCCGTCCATGGGCATGCATTCGTCATGCATCGAGTTCTTCAAGGCAACGCTGTGTGCTACAAGAGGTTTAAAGGCATCCGTTTCTCGATCGAGTCGGGGCCCCCAGCTGGGGAGATCGCTAAGAAGGAGGACGGGAGGTTCGATACAGGGAGACGCCGCCGCCCCAGAGTGCTAAAGGCGTAGTGCAAGCCGCTACACTTTGGCGCCTCCATCGCTACAGACCATCCCTCCGTACACTACCTAAAGCACCGGGACGCTGACGAAAGCACGACTTGGTTTGAGCGGGCTCAATCCTGTTTGGCGTCTATTCTGCATAGGTAGGTAATAATCACCTGCGTCTTGACTTTTATCGTCCATGATTCCCCTCCGTCTCCGTATAGCTGCAGCAGCAAAGCAAAGCAGAGGGGAGGGTCCCGTCCCGTCGTCTGGCGCCTCGTGATCCAGCCCTGCTGCTCCCTCCAACCCCTCGCCTCGCCTATCGCCATCCCGGATTAGACCTGACTGACATCCAGTCCAAGGTCAGTCCAGTTCCAGTCCAGTCACAGCCAACCCGCCCAGCAAAAAGCGCCGTCAGCCCGCTTCAGGCCAACCCCCAACCGGCCAAACCCCAAGAAGCACCATGAACCAATCACATCAGCTGCCTCCCCCGCGACGGCAGCAGTCCGCCACGGCTCCCTATGGCGCTCAGCTCGACGAACTTCACATGTCCGGCATGAGCCCGCAGAGCCAGATGGCATCGCGAGACTACGCTCCCCAGATCAAGCTCGAGCCGTCGCCCGTGCCCAACGTGCTCCAGCCGGGCGGCATGTCGCGCCCGCCTCTGTCTGCCAACAACTCCATGTCTGGCTCTGTTCCCGGCTCTGGCTCTGGCTCAGCCGCCGGCTCGGCATCAGCGTCTGCGCAACACCAGCAGGGCTATCAATCGCCGCCAAAGCCCGTCCTCAACATGTCGCACACCTACTCTCGCTCCAGCCCCGCGGCCAACTACGACACGCCCGCCTCGTCCTCGTCCTACCACGCCTACACGCCAACCACCCCCAGCGGCTCGTCCTCGCAGTTCATCTCGCCTCAGGATGGCAAGTACAACGCCCCGGGCTCCCAGCGCACCTTTTCCAACACGCCGCTGGGCCTGGCTGACATCCGGCCGCGCGCCGACTCGAGCATGTCCGATGGAGCGCCCGGCACGCTTGGCTACGAGGTCGCCAACACACAGCCGGGCCCCAGCAACTACCTGGCTCCGTGGCCCATCTACGCTTTCGACTGGTGCAAGTGGACGCCGCGAGGGAACGGAGCCGGCAAGGTCGCCATCGGCAGCTACCTAGAAGACGGCCACAACTTTGTAAGCCAAGCCGTCGTGCTGGAATACATGTCAAGAGTTGAGTGTTGAACGCCGATGCTAACGGGGCGATATCAGATCCAAATTCTCGACAGCCAGGTCGTCCCAACACCCCAGGACGTCTACCAACCCGGCACGTCAAAGTACAATCTCGAGTTCACAAAGGTGGCCGAGGCCACACATTCGTATCCCGTCACGCGGCTTCTGTGGGAGCCGCCGTCTTCGCAGAAGCAGTCCACCGATCTCCTAGCGACGTCCGGCGATCACCTGCGGCTGTGGTCATTGCCGTCCGAGACCTCTGCAAACCCAGGAAACACGATTACTCGGCCGCAGCGCGACTCGGCCGTCACGAAACTGACCCCTCTGGCGCTCTTGTCAAACTCCAAGACGCCCGATCACACGGCCCCGCTGACGTCTCTCGACTGGAACACCGTCTCCCCCAGTCTCATCATTACCTCGAGCATCGATACCACCTGTACGATATGGGACATTCCATCCCTGACGGCCAAGACGCAACTGATTGCCCACGACAAGGAGGTATATGACGTAAGGTTCTGTGCCAAGAGCGTCGACGTATTTGTGAGCTGTGGTCAGGATGGAAGCGTGCGCATGTTTGACTTGAGGAGCCTGGAGCATTCCACCATCATCTATGAGCCCACAGGAAAGGAAGATCGAGGTTTGTCAACCCCCTATGAAAACGATCTACAGAGAACCAAGCTCCGTTGCTGACAGCTTCAACAGTGGAATCCGGCGAGCGAATGAGCCCTACAACCGCTCAGCAGACGCTTTCGAATCCTCCCCCGCTCCTTCGACTAGCTACGTCACCTCATGATACCCATCTTCTAGCGACATTTGCCCAGGACTCGAACGTGATCCGCATCCTGGACGTTCGACAACCCGGCCAGGCTCTTCTCGAGCTTCGGGGGCACTCTGGTCCCCTCAACTGCATTGAGTGGTCTCCCTCGCGGAGGGGGACGCTGGCCTCAGGAGCAGACGACTGCCAGGTGCTGCTGTGGGATCTCATGAACTCTTCATCCATCAACGGCAGTCAGCAGCCAGAAAACCAGCGAAGCCCCGTCGCATGTTGGGATTGCGACTACGAGATTGGAAACCTGGGCTGGGTACCACACTTGCAAGGCAACGATGGCGGCGAGTGGCTCGGTGTCGGTGCAGGTCGGGGCGTCTGGGGCGTCAAGGTGATGTGAGGACCTTTTGATGGATATCCAATACGAGCCGAGGCCCGTCCGAACCGACCGCGGATGACGCCTTATCTCCGTAAAGGCACCCGTTCCGATTGATATAGACTTGGCTGTTGGGCGGAAAGGGGGGGTGGGGGGGCATATGTATCACCTTACTTGAAAGGATTTATTGGAGTTTTGTACCGACAGCCCTTAGCTGCATGAAACCAGCAACTTTGGAGTATGGAGACGTGACGAGTAACGAACGACTGGAAGTTTGGTCAAATGGATTTGGTGAAAGGATGGAAAAGGGAGTGCGAGGTGTGCCATGTCATATGGGGGGTTCCTTTTTACGCATTTAGTTTATCGCAATTTGAAGCCGCGAGATTCTAGAAGGCCAGGCTTTATGAATACAGCGAGCAGATGCATCCTTTGAATTGTTTGTCGCCGCCGTTGAATTGCGTTATTAAGTACCTAGATGCTTGAGTTGTATCAACGATGCCGATATCACAGTAGTTTCTTGCTGCAGCGAGATGAAATGTGTACTAGAGTACAGGTTAAGTGATTATCACGACTGAACCCAGTTTGATGGTAAGCTTGATACAAGTAATCAACAGAGTACTCGACACAAATGAGCATGTGCAATTGTATAAAATAACCAAAATATCTGTTAAAGAGTATGTTATACTGCGGTCGGGTGGTGGTCAGACATTGAAATTCTCCCACGCAATGAGCCTCTTTTCCCTGCACTCCACAGCCTCTCATTTCCTGGCCAAGGAGAATCTGTACTGCATCAAAACTTGAACACGGTACGTACCTCCACTGCGTAGCGCAGCTGCTGGAACTTTAAACCAGCCAAAGCGCGTTTAGCCCGATAATTACCCGCTCGCCGACTCGCCTTTCTCTTGAAGGCGATCCTTTCTTAAACTCAATCCTCCAACTGTGTTTACTTTTCTTTTCCCCTTTTCAGATCACAGCTACAGTCGCATGGTCAGCAGCACGCATCGCATACCGTAATTCAAGATGGCGTCCAACGACAGGGGCCGATTCGATGATTCCGAGGATGAGGAAGACTTCAACCCAGCGCCAGCCGACATGTCTGAAGACGAGGATCGCAACGACGGCTCAAGCCGGGCGCGAGACAGCAGCCCCAATCGCCGCCAGGAAGCTGACGATGATGATGATGATGAACCCGCCCCGGCTAGATCGCGAAGAGCTCATGATGACGATGAAGAAGAGGAAGAGGACGAGGAGGAAGAAGAAGACACTCGCCGTCGCCACGATGACGATGACGAGGACGAAGAAGAAGAGGACGAAGATGACGACGATGTCCAACAGGTATGGCCCCCGGACATGGCGACTGATGATGGAATCCCGGTAATTGGAGATGCTGACGCAGATGACCAAAGGGCCATCGCAGAAAGCGCCAGCGCGACAGGCGAAATGCCTTCATCGATATCGAAGCCGAAGTCGATGACGAAGACGAGGGTGAAGACGAGGAAAAGGATGGTGAGGAGATAGAAGACTTCATCATCGACAACGCTCACCCTGATGACCTGGCCGAGAGCTCGCGACTGGACGATGACCGAAGACACCGCGAGCTTGACCGCCGTCGCGAGATGGAGTCCAGCATGGATGCCGAGAAACAAGCCGAGATCCTGCGCCAGCGATACGGCAACCGACGACCTGGCAAGAGTTTCGGCGACTCGGCCGTCGTGCCTAAACGCCTTCTTCTCCCTAGTGTGGATGATCCTAGCATCTGGGCCGTGCGATGTAAAGAAGGAAAGGAGCGCGAAGTCGTCATGTCCATCATGAAGCGAGTCGAGGAGCGAAGAGGCACAAAGGACGAACTGGCCATTACTGCCGCTTTCGAGCGTGGCGGCCCCGACTCCGTCATGAAAAGCTTCGTCTACGTTGAGACCCAAAGACAAACCGACATTCTTGTGGCTCTCGATGGCATCCTCAACGTCTATCCCCACTCCAAGTTGACCCTGGTGGACATCAAGGACATGCCCGAGCTTCTGCGCGTCACCAAGACACCGACACTGGAGCCAGGCGCATGGGTGCGACTTCGAAGGCCCCCCAAGCACAGCGGAGACTTGGCCCAAGTCATTGATGTGACCGAGAATGGGCTGGAAGCCAGGGTCCGATTTATCCCCAGACTCGACTACGGCATGCGTGATGAAGCTCTGTCTGCGGTGACTGCGGATGGAAAGCGCAAGAGGCCACCGGGAATGGGCCCGCGACCGCCCCAGAGACTTTTCAGCGAGATTGAGGCGCGAAAGCGTCACCCCCGTCACATTCAGGGCAACCCGACAACCAACACTTGGACGTATATGGGCGAAGAGTTTGAAAACGGGTTCCAGGTCAAAGACGTCAAGATCCAGCAGCTCGTGGTGACGGATGTCAACCCTTCCCTGGAAGAAGTGACACGGTTTGCTAGTGGCGCTGACGATGGCACGGAGAATCTTGACTTGAAGGCTTTGGCCGCCAGTTTGAAGGACAGCAACACGCTCGTCACGTACCTGCCTGGCGATATCATCGAGGTGTATGCCGGAGAGCAGAGAGGTGTTGTTGGCAGAGCCACCAATGTGCAGGGTGACATTGTGACCATGTTTGTCACAGAGGGCGACCTGAAGGGCCAGAGCATCGAGGTGCCCATCAAGGGGCTTCGCAAGCGCTTCAAGATTGGTGACCATGTCAAGGTGATTGGCGGCAGCAAGTTCCAGGACGAAGTCGGTACGGTGGTCAAGATTTCTGAGGACCGCGTCACGCTCTTGACGGACCAGACGAACAATGAAGTGACGGTTTTCAGCAAAGATTTGCGAGAGGCCAGCGACATTGGCGGACAAGGATCACTCGGCCAGTATGAACTTCACGACCTTGTGCAGTTGGATCCCACTACAGTCGGCTGCATTGTCAAGGTAGACCGGGAGTCCTTGGTTGTGTTGGATCAGTTTGGAGACACTCGCCAGGTCATGCCGTCCCAGATTCCCAACAAGCTTCCCAAGAGAAAGCAAGCAGTTGCCGCCGACCGGGAGGGCTCAGAAATCCGCCTAGACGACGTGGTCAAGGAGTTTTCTGGACAGCAACGCCAGGGCAAGATCATCCACATCCACCGTTCCTACGTCTTCCTGCACACCCATGCCACCAATGAGAATGCTGGTGTCTTTGTCACCAAGGCGAGCATGGTTAATACGATCGCTGCCAAGGGAGGTCGTGTCAACGCAGCAGCGTCGGGACCTGACCTGACCACTATGAACCCAGCCTTGAAGATTCACAAGAACGGCAACGAGAACAAGCCTCTCGCCAAACAGTTTGGCCGAGATCGTGCCATTAACCAAACCGTCATCATCAAGAAGGGCGCCTACAAAGGTCTCCTTGGTATCGTCAAGGACACGACCGACACACACGCCCGTGTTGAGCTCCATACCAAAAACAAGACCATCACCGTTCCCCGAGATTGCCTCAACTTTAAGGACAAGAACACCGGCATAAACATTGACATCAATGGCAGAGGACGGCCCGCACCGGGCGGAGCGGGACGCGGCTCAGGGGATAGAGTCCCGGGTTGGCAAGGGGGATCTCGCACGCCCATGGGCTCCGGCGGCGCAGACCGCGTCCCCGCCTGGGGGTCACGAAGTAAGTTGTTTCTCGTCTTCCATTGTTTCCCATTTTGCTAACAAAGACTCAGCTCCTGCACAAGGCGGCCGCACGCCAGCATGGAAAGGCCAAGACTATTCTGGATCCCGAACGCCGGCTTGGGCAGATGGATCGAGGACTGTTAACCCGTACGATGGAAGCCGAACTGCTTACGGGTCCGGTTCACGCACGCCAGCCTGGCAAGCTGGTGCCAGAACACCCGCGCCGGGTGACGCATTCGGTGCTGGCTCGCGCACTCCAGCCTACGCCGGCGGTGGTGGAGGCGAGAGCTGGTCTTCTGGTTCGAAAACACCCGCGTGGGGAGTCTCGGCACCGACCCCTGGCGCCAGCGAGTCTTGGGGTTACACGCCTGGGGCCGCCACTTCTTCTGCCTACGACGCCCCGACTCCTGGAGGCGCCATGTCAGCTCCTACTCCTGGTGCCTTGAGCGCGCCCACACCCGGCGCCTACAACGCTCCCACCCCGGGAGTTGCACCGACGCCTGCTGGCGGCTGGCAAGGCGGATGGGGAGGAACGGACTCGGCGCCGACACCGGCAGCCGGAGCGCCGACGCCGTCTGCGTCCGGATACGGTGGCTACTCGGCACCAACGCCTTCAGCCTACGGCGCGCCCGAGACACCTGCTGCCAGCGGTCCGAGGTACACAGACGATGATTGAGCGTCTCCGCTGGGCAAGTGAGCTATACATATTGTTTCTGACATGGTGGATATGGCGTTTTTAGGAATCAAAACTGCAGTAATACTGGTGAAGAGCGGGCAGAGGGAGAACTTGGCACATGGCTAGTTGAAGCAGACAAATCTTGGAGGATACTAGGAAGCGCGTGGTTATGCAGAAAAGAAAAAAAGTAAATAGGGACAGTTTTTACGTATTACTAATGAAAAATCTCTTGCATAAAGATGGAAGCCAATTTGTGCCGTGACTTTACATGAAGCTGTGATTTTTGTCGTCGTGATTTGCTTTCTCGGTGTGGATTCCGGAGTAGTTGGCTCTGGCCCGAGTTTCGGCCGAAAAGCCGGTGTAGCCAAAAAGTTTGGCAGCCAAAGTCGTAGCTACCAAGACATGTTTACCAATCCACGATTACAACCAAACATCAGCAAAAGCACGCACAATGTTTCGTTCCCGGATACGCAGCCGGCTGTTGGAGCGCTACGAGAGGCAAGTGTGCGAGAAGCTCTGCCGGCGGACGACCAACGGCTCTGAGCGGAGCTTTGTCTTGCCGCATGCATCGACGAGAGGATATGCGACGGGCAAGGGTTCAGCGAGTGCCGATGCTTCGAGAGCGGTGAATAAGGCTGCACCTGGATCGGCGTCTTCTTTACGGATATCCTCTACGACGACGACAGGAATAGAAGTAGGAACAGGAACAGGAACAGGAACAGGAGCAGGAGCAGCATCTTCGGCGGCGGCCCTACGAACGGCCGAGGCGCGGGACTCTGCGCTGCGGGCGGCGCGCATGCGACGGCTCGCGCAGCAGCAAGATAGGCTGGAAGAGGAGGCGAAGAAGAAGGAGGCGAAGAGGGAGTACAAGAGGCGGTATGATACGGCGGCGAGGAAGTGGGTGTCGACGATTATTGCGTTGCCGATATTGCTTGTGACGAGTTATTATCTGTTTGACAGACGTGAGTTACTCTCTCTCTCTCTTTTTTTTTTTTTGTCTTTGCTGACTGGCTGGGGGTTTAGTTGCGTTGAGGAATGAGCCGAAGAGTTTGGAAAAGTATCGGGGGGAGAAGAAGTGAGGGTCTTTTGTCATGTTTTTTTTTTAGATGAATGATGTGCTAGAACTAGGCGGCATGGGCGTAAAGCGTTTGGAAGGGGTTAAAACGGGTGTATGGAACTGTTATCAAGGGCTCATCGTTGAAGAAGCTTTGACTGGCTTGAGGTTGGAGCCTTGTTTGTCAACTGGGATGGCCAATCTCCCGCTTGAGAAACGGCATATACATGTTGTACAACTGCGTTTGTAAATTATTGAGCAAAGGATACGGCTTGGGCTGGATGGATTGCTTTTGCATATATAAGGCGTTGTATATATTACTACATGTACTACTAAGGTACCTATTCAGAACAGCGACAGGGGCATCGATTCTTATGGAAGAACCTCTCATCTATATATCCAATATCCAAGGGAAGACGTGCTGAAAAGAAAAAAAAAAAGAAAAAAAATCTACAGCTTCGACCTCACAGGCTGCGTCCCATTCTTCACCATCTCCTCGGCGTCCCTCTTGCTCCACTGCTTCATCAGCTTGCGGATAATCTTGCCGCTGGCCAGCTTGGGCACCTCGTCGATAAAAGTGACGCCGCCGACCAGCCGCTTGTGCTTGGCGACGCGCGTGGCGGTCCAGTCCTGGATGTCCTTGGGCGTGACTTTGCCCTTTGACGATGGCTGGATGACGACGTATGCGCGTGGCCATTCCTCCTCGTCGCTGTGATGGGTTTTTGGTCAGATGGTGGTTTCTTCTTTATTTTATTTTTTTTTGGGTAAGGGAACGTACAATTTGATTTCGACGACTGCTGCGTCGGCGACGTGTTCATTTTCTAAAAGGACGGCTTCGAGCTCGGCCGGGGCGACTTGCAGACCGTTGACCTTGATGAGCTCCTGTACATCAACCCCGTCAGCAACGATACGTGTTTTCGATATGACGCAACTGACCTTTTTTCGATCGACAATGGCAAACAGGCCTTGGCTGTCACAAACGGCAATGTCGCCAGTTCTGAACCAGCCGTCCTTGTCCAGACACTCTCGCGTTGCTGCCTCGTTCCTCCAATATCCCAAACACACGTTGGGGCCTCTGATGAAGAGCTCGCCAGGTGTTCCCACGCCAACCTCCTTGCCGTCATCGTCGAGCAGCTTGCATTCGCAGTTGGGAAGCAATCTGCCCACGGAGCCGCCGCTATCGCCCTCCAGCCCCTCGGGGAAGCTGATGCCGGTGCAAGTCAGCTCCGTCATGCCGTAGCCCTGCGTGATGCGCAGGTTGAGCTTCTTCTCGCACAGCACCTGCAGCTCCCTGGACAGGGGCGCGGCACCGCACGCGGCGTGACGCACGCTGGAGAGGTCGTAGCGCGCAGTCTCGGGCCGCTTGGCGAGCATGACGACGATGGGCGGCGCAATCTGCAGGTGGGTGATTTGGTAGCGCTGGATGGTGGCCAGGAAGTCCTCGTAGTGGAACTTGGACATGATGTAGATGGGCGTCAGCGTCTTGCCGGCGAGGAGACAGGCGTACAGCTGGCCGTAGGCGTGGTACAGCGGCAGCAGGCCGATCCAGCGGTTGCGCGGCTGGAGATGCCACTCGGGCTGCCTGTGGACGTGGCGGAGGTGGTTGGCCTGCTCGACGTTGGCGATGAGGCTGGAGTGAGGCACGCAGACGCCCTTGGGGAGGCCGGTCGTGCCGGAGCTGAAGTTGATGGTGGCGACGGTGGTGCGGGCCTCGGCCGCGGTCAACTCGGGCCATTGCCATCTGAAGGCGTCGTGGTGAGGGGCGAGCACGGATCGCCAGTCGGGGACGCCGTCTTGGACGGGGGTTTCCTCGTCGGAGAACTGGAAGATGCGGTTCTTGGGGATGCCGACTCTGGATGCGGCTTCGAGGACTTTGGGGAGGACGCTGGGGTGAGCGAGGACGGCCTTTGCTTCTGTGTTGTTGAGCTGGTAGCTGAGCTCTGTGGTGTTGGTGAAGAGGGTTGAGTTAGCTAGCTGTCCATGCTCATCTGTCCATACGAAATACTACTGCTACCGTCTTATATGTGGTGTGTGATTTATATAGGCATGTGTATATATATATGAGACAACATACCCTGAACCGTAAAGACGGGATTGGCACCGCTAAAGATGTAGCCCGAGCCCGTGAGGCCCAGATACGCAACGGGCACAAAGATGTGGTTCGGCGAGCACATCATGACCACGTCTCCCCTCTTCAAGCCCATCCGCTGCAGGCCGAGGCCCAGCCGCCGGATCCATTGCACCAGCTGATGCGGCGAGAGATTCTTGCTGGGGTCCTTGGCGTTGAACCAGATGGGCTCTTGGGAGAGTATCGATCCATTGCCGAAGAGATACGTCAGGAGGTTGGTTTGGGGGATGTCGACATGTTCGTATAAAGACTTGAACGGCATTGTGAGAGTGCGGGATAGACCAGGTTGAGGGGATGTGTGGTGTTGTATAGAGAGAGAGAGAGGGATGAAAGTCCAGCAAGGGCGCGGATCAAGTCAAATTCAACAAATCCATACACTATGAGAAGAAAAAAAAATAGAACCGGGATTCCCACTGGTGGGACTACTCTCTTCAAATGGGCTGCCCACCCTCTTAAAAGGATTGAGGCGATCGCCAACTCCCCCTCCCTCAACAAAAGGACGCCAACCCGCGGGAAGACGCACCGCAACCGAGGCTGCGCTTCTTTGTAGACGGCTCTTTTTTTTTTTTTTTTTTTTTTAAACCAAAGAGGCGAGGGAACCCCCCCCTGTCGGATCTTAGCTCTTGGCCAATCCAGCAATGGGCTGTGCGATGACCATGTCTGGCTAAAGTGGGAACCTGGAAAAAGCTGGGGTAAGACTACTAAGGACGGAAATAGTGCAAGAAAAGGGGAATAACAAGACAGAAAAAGCAAAGGGGAAACAAGAGGGGGGAAAAAAGAACAGATGCGGTGTAACTGATGGCAAGCGATGTTGTTATACAACTGTGGGATTTTTATTTGACTTTTTCTATTTCATCCATCTCAGCCTTTTTTCACTTTCTCGGGGAGCGGCTATCCGTGTCCGAGAGTCCGCGGGAGAGGATTCGGAGAGCATGGGGGAGCGTGGGGCTGTTTCGGAGAGAAAGAGGGGAAAGGGAGAGAGAGTCATGCAGGCGGTTGGAGAGACGGTTGGAGAGGGTTTAACCAAGGTAAAAGGTAAAGTCGAAGGGATTGACCCTTTATGCCTTTTATTGTTGGAGAACGGTTACACGTACCTTTTATCTGGAGTTCTGATTATAAGCGGCGTCAGCGGGTGTTGGCCCCAATAGGAAATTCCGTCTGGAACGGGCAAGGGATTACCTGAAGAGGAACATGAGTGTCAACGCCAAAAGCCAATTCGGTATGATGATGTGGGTGCGCATCTATTGAAAAGCACAACCGACAATGGTGGTGTAGAATACCCAACCAGGCATGTTGATGTCCCGCGTACATGGCTAGAGGATCTATGCTCGTACATGTATGCGTAATCCCATTCCTAAATCCTACAGCCCACATCGAGTTAGGTAGAGATCGATCCCGTCGAGTGTCGCCTACGAGAGCCCATCTCGCACTTTGAAAACCACCAAAACGACAATACAGAATACCCTCATACGCAGCTATACCCACCGTTGACTGCTAACCCAAAGCCATTGACAGAGCTGCTCAGTGACGACGCGAGAAACACGACGCCGTCGGCAATCTCCTCGGGCTGGCCCAACCTGCGCAGAGGCGTCTCTTTAACATGCTCGTCCAGCGAGCGATTCTCCATCTGGCTCTGGGCGCTGCTGCCCGTCGTGGGCGTCTCAATGTAGCCGGGACAGATGGCCTTGATGCGAATGTTGAAGCCCGAGTGCGAGACGGCGTCGGCTCGAGTGATGCCAATGACGTCTGCGTCTTTTGTCTCATGTCAGCGAAATCGTTCGTCGTGGGAAGTGACTGGTGAAAGGAGACTCACCGTACTTGGCGGCGGCGGAGGCAGTGTATTGGATGGAATAAAGCAGCTTGATGAGGCCGTGCAGCGACGAAACGTTGATGATGGAGCCCCGTCCTCGCGGTGGGCCGAGATCTCTGCCACAAGGTCAGGAAAACGAAACAACGATGGGGATGAAACTTGGGGGTTTTTTTTTTTTTTAGGTTTCCCTCACTCTTGGTCTTTCATGATATGGAGCTCCTCTTGTTGACAGAAATGGATGCCCCTCAGGTTGGTGCTGAGAACTTTGCTCCAGTCTGCCTCGTCCAGCTCGTCCATCTGTTCTGCCTCATCCAGCTCGTCGTTGACCTGCCCTGCCCTGCCCGTGACGCCGGCGTTGTTGACGGCAATGTCCAGCCGGCCAAACCGCTCGACAACCTGCGACAGCACGCTCTTGGCTTGCTCGGGCTTGCTGACGTCGAGCTCCAGCGGCATGACCTCGACGCCGGGCCATTGCCTCTGGACATTGGCCGCCACGGCTTCGAGGTCCCGGAGGTTGATGTCTGTGATGGCTAGCTTGGTGATGCCGTAATTGGCAAGGGCGTAAGCCGTCTGTTCTCCGATGCCTGCGAGAAATTACATGCAATACGTTAGAATGGTCGATACCAGCTACAACGAACCAATTGGCGGATGTTTCGGGGTTTCCCATTCGGACTTACCAGAAGCAGCGCCCGTCACGAAGGCTGAGCCTTGTAGAAGCGACGCCGCTATGGAGCTATATTTTGACAGGTTTGACACTGGGTTTTGGAAGAGAAAGACCTAACGGAAGGGTAAGAGACGAGGAAAAGGAGAAATGGACAAGCTGTTTGGTGCATTTTTACATCACCTCATGCAAAGGCGGAAAAACATACTGGGCCGGGTAAGCTGGAAGGAGGTATCATTGCCGGAATTGGGGGTATCAAAACTAGATGAAGAAATCAATGGGACGTTGACGGCCGCTATGGATGCTTGAAAGTACATGAATGAGTGTCCATGAACTGGATCTCCTTGTCCAGTTGAAATGTATGGTAAGGAAACCCACTATATCAACGGATAGTAACTATCCCTTTGAGTACTAAAGTAGGTACCCATGAAGGTGCGCTCTATGTACCTTCAACACTAAAGCCAATCAGACAAACAGATGTGAGAAAATCTCTACCAAAAGCAGTAAAAAAGCGGACACAGTACCTACGTACCTACTATTCTTGACCTAGGGGTGTCATCCAACCCGAATCTAACCCCGTATCGTAATATTCATAATACACATCAAAGATTTCGCCCGGATTACATACGTTTCCGAGGGCCGGGTCGGAGGGGATTACATAAGTACGTTTCCGAGGGCCGGTTCAGCATGTAAACACACACCGTTGGAGATACAACGGCGATTGGTGGATCAGCCGGGCCGCTCTGCTCCGCGGCTTCAAGCATCCGTTCCACTCCTGGCAACGGAAAACGCGACATGTATCCGAATTGAGGAGTGTGCATGAATGATTGATAAGATGATGTTATCTGCATTCGATAGTGTCAGAACTGACCATACGGGCAACTTCTCTCACTGAAGTAGGTGCTAGGAGCAAATAGACCACTTGTGTTGAAAATGCGAACATTGTATGACATCTTTGAGAAACATGGTCGCATGGGGTTATGGCTAGTGAATTGGACAGCGGGTCGTCCGCTGGCGTGGTCTTTTAGCTCAACCTGAATGCTTGGATAGTCAATCTCATTATACGCAGACGCAGACGCCAAGGTCGAAAGAGCATCACGAGTGGGATGGACAGAGGCGAGTATTTGTTTCACTGGTATTTATATTGGTTGGCCTGGCTTCGCTAATCAAAGACGAAGTGTATGCAGGCATCTGGAGTTGTAGCAGATAGGTACAAGAATGAAGCAGACCAAAACGCCACGGCGAGCCCGCGATTTCACAGGCTCAAGCCATCCCAAAACCCGCCCCGTCGGATCCAATGTACTTTGGAAGCAACAATGACATCAAGACTAGACGGAACAAAGGGGGAAAAACAAAGAGAGGCAAAAGAAAAGACACGACGTGGCATGTCAGGTCATGTCCAGTCAAGTCAAGTCAAGTCAAGTCAAGTCAGGCATTCAACTACGACTCGCTCGGCTTGGGCGGCTGGAAGCGCGCAATGGACTTCTGGATGCCCCTCTCCATGCCCTTGGCCATCTTCTCGAGCGGCAGCTTCTCGTCGAGCTTCTTGACGGCCCTTGCGATGGGCGGCTCGATGCGCTGGGCGGTGCGCTCGGCGGGGGAGCTGAAGTAGTTGATGTTGCGCTCCCAGCGAGGCGCCCACTTGTTGGTCTGGCGCTGCAGCTTCTCCTCGGCGCCGGGCATGGCCATGTACAGGGGGGCGAGGACGCCGACGCCGGCGGCGCTGATGCAGAAGATTTCGGTGGGCTTGGCCTTGGGGAGACGGGGGACGCGAGGAGCCATGATGGATTGATTGATGAGGTGATGCTGATGATGAACGGGGGGAGAGTTGTTGGAGTTTGTTGAGCACGGGGTTCTGCTGATGGAATCAAGAAGGAAAACAGACTGTGGCTTGGGAGTCTATCGATGTCACGTCAGCCTTGTCTGTGATGAGAAGACCAGAATGAAGCAATGATGAGACGAGAAAGACATACCTGTTGATGGAAGCGATGATGATGATGATGATGGTGATGATGATGATGATGATGATGATGAGGAATCAACGAGGCCAGACACGCACACACACACGCACGCAAACCCCCTCTTCTTGTTCCCTTTATATACCCCGGACTGAATCTCCGCCAGGGATGACACCACCCTCACGCGGCCACAAGACAAGGCAAATACGCCCGAGTACAAGGTGGCCAAGTCGACAGCGGGCGGGGTAGACTCGCAGTGACATGCAGAGACTTGGCTGACAATAGGAGGCAAAGTATCTGCAAGCGTCCGGAGGTACCAGGTTTCGCTTGCATCTGGGGTTGCGTTGGGTTGGAACCAAAGTTGGTGCGGAGAAGGGCTTGGGGGATTCACCGGAGGCTTGACTGTGACTGTGACTGTGACTGTGCAGTGTTAGCTGGGTGTCGGGGGAGGGCAGGTCTCTGGCGGCGGCAAAGCGTATGAGACGGTACACGCCGACTGTTAACGCGGTACAGTGTCGAGCTGGCAACAACTGCGTCGCATCAGCTTAGTACCTTAGTACCAGTACCGTACACCGTCATCAGCTCTCCATCTCCATGTCCATCTCCATCAATCAAGGCAAAAGCAACAAGCCACCGCATGCATCAAATCGCACCACACCACCAAACACACCACTCCCTCCCCTCGTCTCGTCCCGTCCAGGGTCGCAGCAGGCGCAAGCACAAGCACAAGCACATCCATCGCTCGCCTCAGGGCCAACGAACCCCGTGCCTGGCGCATTACTCAAAACGGGCACATCTCGAGCCTCACTTTCTTCTTCCCTTCCGCTTCCTCAACACCATTTCTTTCTTTATTCTCCAGCTTCCCATCCATTCCGGCACTTGACTTCACATCGCCCATCTCATCTCAAGGCCCCGCCCCCAGACAGGCGCTACTTTGGCTCGATGGATTTCGATGGACTCTGGCCCACTTCCCCAGACGGCACAACGATCCTTTTTCTGCTGCTCCCTTCTCCACCAAACCGAGTCCTGCTGTGTCCCCCCTTTTCGCTTTTCCCCTCCGTCTCTCTGTCGCTTCTTGACTAACGCGTACCCGTACTAGTAGTAGTACGGATGCTTTGGCTGGCATCGTTGGTGCTCACCGAGACAAGCGGAGTCTGTCGCTCTGCGCTCACCGTCGCCGCCGAGACAGAATCAGATGCTTGGATGGTTACGGTGAAGCACAACCTCCCGAGCATGCAGCCGAGCGTCATAATCTTGCCAAATCTTATGCGCCCTCTCCTCCGCACCAGGGAGATTTGCACAAGCGAACACTCAAGCAATGCCACACCAAATTCACAACTGCAGGTCGTATTTACCCCTCAGGCATCCCAACCCGTCGTCGCGCCACTCGTCATCCCATCAGCACGTTCACATTAGCTGAGCAGCGACACTAGGCCGAGTCCAGGCCATTTGCCTGAATTGCCTTGCTGCCCCCCCAGAGTTTCGCCCGTTGCTGGTGGCGACATGGTTGGTAAGAGACGTCCATGTGATTGGGCCAGCACCGCTGTCGCCTGTACCGCCTGGTCGAGTACTGGTTACGGGGGGTTACATTGGCCTGCCGAATTCAGCATGTACCTCGCGTGCCAGCAATGTACTCATTTGCCTTGGTTCATTGTCCCTTTTCCATTGTTGAATTTGCACGTGCAAAAATCAATTGTCTCGAACTCGTCGAGAAGCTGTTTGCCTACGGGGTGCACTACGACACTACGCCTAGTTTATCCAACCAGGTTGAAGCGAGGCGGCTGTCTTGTCACGGCGCATAATTCCTACTGCTTGGGATGTGCAATGGTAAGTTGGTACTCGCAGAGGTTGAATTATGTACTTCTTAGTGGTATAGTAAGGGAGTGGTCATTCTACATCCTCGTGCCGCGTATCCTCAATTGCATATACTATTCCCACATAACAGTGGATGCCTAGATATCCGCCATATCTCACTCTTTCAGCCAGCTATTGTCCAGCATTATATCCTGGAAAGAAGGAGCTATAGCATTATACATGTACAAGCAGAAATCCTCATCATCACAATCGCCGCCTCACTCCCTAGTTTTTTTTTACCACTCATCCACTTCATCCTCCTCCTCCTCTTCACCCTCTTCATTCCCCTCCTCCTCCTCATCGTCCTCCTCATCATCGTCCCCCTCTTCATCCTCTTCATCCTCTTCATCCTCTTCATCCTCTTCATCCTCTTCATCCTCTTCATCCTCTTCATCCTCTTCATCCTCCTCCTCACTATCGTCCTTCTCATCGTCCTCCTCTTCACCGTCCTCCTCTTCATCGTCCTCCTCTTCATCATCATCCTCCTCTTTATCCTCCTCCTCCTCCTCTTCATTCCCCTCCTCTTCATCCCACTCCTCTCTAACATCATCAATGACATGTAGCAGAATACTCAGCTTCATGTCGGCCTCGCCTCCAGCCTGGCGCCGCTCCTCGCTATCCTTATTGTAGCTTTCGGCTTGTTGAATGGCGGCCGTCTTGCTTCGTCTCGGCCCCAAATACTTAAGCGCGGCCTTCCCTGAGAGATATATGTCGTCCTCACATACCCCCTTGTACCTGCCATTGTGGAGGAACGCGTCGTTGTCATGCTCATGCTCGGGAGTTGGAGCTGTACTTTCCATGTCCATGAATGATTCCGGAGTCGCCTCTTGCGGTACTTCTTGTGACACCTCTTGAGATGGGGCGTCCTCTGGGTTGTCCTCTTCCGCGTCCTCAGCGTCTGTATCCGGTGCTTCGTTCATCGGACAGACGCTGTACAATTCCTTTAGTCCACTAAACTGCCGAAGGATGGCGTTTTGAGTCTCATGTATGCGACGTGGACTCGAACCGACGGCCAACTTTTGAACATCTCGCGCCCATCTGGCATTGGTCGTCACCATCTCGTACGCATCAGGACACATTCTTGCCAAGGGTTGCAGAAGAGTCCAGTCGAGCAGGGTAGTGCCTGGCCAAGAGATATAGAGGATGTCTCTGGCGGCCTTGTATCTCACGACACTGAGCGGGTGGTAGATACCATCCGGGTGTGGGCTGTGGCCCCATATGGTGATCGTATTGGGCAGGAGATGCTTCAGGATCAAGTTTCGAAATCCTCGGCTGACAGAGACGGCAGTCCGAGCTGCAGCCGTCGACTGGACGAGAGCCGAGTTAACTATTACCTCGCCGTGTATATGAGTCGTCAACTGTATGACCCTGTGGGATCCAATGACCATCCCCCATATTTGTATAAGGAGATCGGGAGGGAGGTTGCCGAATGACGGGACAAGTCCGTCTTGTCCTGTAGGCGTTGAGTTGTTGTATGCCCTTTTTCGAATGAGATCAAGCATACGGCGGTGAGCCGTAGGGCAGAATGATTCAGATGAGATGGCCATGGAGTTTTAATTGTGAAGTGATGTGTGTGCAAGTAAGAGTGAAGAAGTGTACGATGAGGAAGAAGAGGTACGGGGGACAAGCCGGGCAAACTTGTAGTCTCTTTTACGTTTGTTGATGAATTTCTTGATGGGAAATGCTTCGGACTGTTGAAATCTTTTATAAGAGGGCAAGATGAGCAGAAGCCACCTTTGGCCACCGCTCTTATTGCAATTTACGGTTCTAGAGAGATCCGAGTCTACATCTTATAAACGCCTTGCATACACACAACCTTGAAGTTGCCACATCCGTAAATTTGCTTTCTTAGCTGCCAAGATGGTGTTTGATATCGGCTTTATTCCACTTAGCCGATCACTAAGAGCGAACAGTTCTGTGAGGCACTGATAGAGTTTCATGTATCGCAGCGTTGAGGAAGCACCTCTCAGCACCTCTTACTTTGCGTCCATAAGTGTCCTGATGTATGGGTAATTGTTACTATTGTTTCTTTTTTTGGAATGCCTAACACTACGGCCATACTCCTCTTAGATCTACGAGAGTAATCAACGAGAGTTTAAGAGGCAGCTCTTTACATTATATGCAGCACCGATGAGGATTTAGATATGGTTGGGCGCAGGATCTAGAATAGTCTTCCTGAGAGACTGGGGTATCTAGAAGCCACTCCACCATTTCAGAAACCGTATTGGAGGCTGAACTTTGACAACTCACTCGCCATGAAGATTTCCATGTGTCCGATTTCTCTGGGCGCCACGTGTACTTGAAGCTTTCTCTGCCTATAATGGAGTTTGGAGAATAAATTTTGGAATTGAGTGGGCTGAGAATAGCCTTTTCACTCGGCATCGTGGGTATGACGGCATAGGTACCAGCAGAGGCCAGATAACAGAAAAATATAAAATTCTGTAAAGATAGCCTCACTCCTCCTGATCCACAGGACAAGTTGGGTACTTGTCCAGGCTGATTGGGAATCGTATTTGAGTAAAGAAGATGGGCTTTTCCCTCGTACTGTGCAAGTAGATGGGCGTGTTATACTTTGTCTCCATGTAGACAGATGGCAATACTCCATCAGGAACTCTACACACATCGTATGGGTCATGTTCCGAACTATATTCCGATCCAAGCCAGTGTCCACATCTGAGGCAGTATATGAACGCCCTCTATCCCACCAAATGTCTCCGTTTTCAATGCGTTCTTCTCCGCTAACTGACAACAACTGGAATCGTGCTGCACGCTTCTTCCCGTATACTACTAGGTACTTCAATACTCAACAGCCGTTCACATCAGGCCACCTATTTCGTCAATCTCTCAAAATGCCACCTTTCCCTCAACAGAGTGGACCTGCCTGCGTCCCGAGACGGGCGTCAGGCTTTGCCGGTCTGGGCCTGGGCCTGGATACGACGAATTCCACTCTTGCGGACTCGGATGAGCGACCGGGGTGCGATGAGTTCCAATTCTCGACCTTTTTGATAGGCAACTTGAGCATATTCTTCGGCGTCATCTTCCTTTTCATCATCGTGGGCTGGGCCAGCAAGGTCGAGCTCGGATGGGGTTGCCGACTTGTCTGCCGCTGCTTTGACAAGGCGCGAAACGCATTCACCAAGATGAAGAGCGTTGCGATGCGACGGAATGGTATCCCAGAGGATGTCAGCGATGCTGCTGCCGTGGCTACGAGAACTTTACCGACGGGTCATGGTCAAAAAGCTGCCAGTTCGTTGTCGGACGTTGAACTTGATGTTATGGGAACGCCGGTCGAAGTGCGGGTTACGGAGTGCACCGGCGAGGGGAAAGTGTGAGAGGAATTACAAGTGAATTGTCGTCGGACATTGATCAAGTCGCCGACGGGGTCGTTGTAATTGCAGGCCGGAGAGGTTGGAGAGGTCGGATGGTTGACCGACAGCCGACGGGATGTTTGTCTGACCTAGATGGATGGCTTGGGTTGTGGAGATGTCGGAGGTTTTTTTTTTTGGTGGTTTTGGATGGAGCAAAAAAAAAAAAAGATGCACGATGGGGGTTCACTAAATTGGATTGTAATTTCCAAGAATTATTTCTTGTTTTTTTCCTATTCTATTCAACCATTGGGTGATGTTATAGGAAAGACTGGAAGGAGTTGGGGCGCAATACAACTGGTAGATGTCTATCTATCGTCTGAATGGGATTTGAAGTTCGACAACACTTGCATTCGTGTTTGCATCAATCACATGTGTCATGACGGGGTAACATTGGGCACGAGCGACTTGATATTGCAGCGGAACATCGCCGTCGGCTCGTCGGGGAACTCGAGTGAAGTGTGTGCGACGAGACGAGGGCCCGGCGACCGACGACCCGAAGGGATTCCGACAGCCGGGGGTAGAGATGAGGCTAATGTGAGTCGAGATGCGTCTCCATCTCGGCAGGGCGGGTTTGGAAAAGTTGATGATGGTTTCTGGATCGATTTTTACATGGGTTGAAGCCATTAGATTAGTAGTTGTATTTGGAGATGCTCTCGAGACTCGACATCAATGAAAGCAGCAATCAATCAACCTTACGTGGACGAATACACGTACACAATCAATCTCAATCCAGGTCCATGTTCCAAAGCTCACCAAGATAAGGCCCCGGTAAAAGCAGGGCAGGGCTGGAGTGGGAACAAACAAGCACTACAAGGGGGGCTCCAGCGGTCAACGATATAGCGCCCTGCAGCCCCTAACGAGGGGGGGTCGGGATGCCCTGAACGCCCAATCAGCAGCGCGCCGGCCCCCCCAAAGGAGCTCGAAAAGCCCAAGGCCGAGGGTCCGTTCCCGAGCTGGTCTTACGTACAACGAGTGGCGATCTGACAAGATTTGACTGCTGGCAGACGTCAAACAAGTGCTCAGGTGACGACGGTGTTTGTGTCGCGGTAATCGTCGGCCTTTTGACGTACACAACAAGCCATCCATTGCCCTTGTCCGGCCCATTGGACTGCTACATGTACCTACTAGACAGATAGGTACGAGCACTATCCGAACGGTTGGTACCTCCTCCAGCTAAACTCATCGTGCATGTACCTACACTCTGCATAATCTCTTCCTCTTCCTCCTCTCTTTATTTATTCCTCCCTCACCTCCTCCTTCCCCCCTCAATTTCTTCTTCTTCTTCCATTCTGCCCATCTCGTGTCTCGCATCCCGGATTGGCATCTTCATTCTGCTCCCTCCAACTAAAGTCCGAGCAGCACCACCGCCACCAACACACAAACTTCTCGGTCCGGCCCGTCGCAAACTTGATCGCCAACGTTGCTCACCCACGCAAAACTTCTCTTCATCATCTATCAGTTCAATCTATCCGACCAGACGCCATTTGCTTACCTCGCCCGAACCTCGTCCGAGTAAGCAGCCTCCTGTCATCCCTCTGCTCTGCTCTGCCCTGCTCGCATCTGCACCCAGAACGCCAACGTCAGCAGTAGTAGCAGCAGCAGCACCTTGAAAGCCATCAATTGTCACTGCTACTCGCCTTGCCGCTTCCGCTTCCCCCGTTGTCTCGTCCGTCTACCTCCCTCCTGCTCTTCGGCTCTACATTAGCAAACAACAAAGAACCCAGATTGTCTCGCTGTGATGCGTCTGTCTGCTGCCCAATCGACATAACCAAAATCTACCCCAATCACCCCCTTTCATCACCGCGCCGCCATGGCCTCTAGAACCCCGACATGCTTTGCGCGGCGGCTGCATCAAGCTGCTCGACCCCGGAATCTTCTCTCACGGCAAACTTCGCCCAAGATCCAGAGCCGTGCCTTCACAAGGCCAACAGCTGCCAGACACAGCCCCGAGGCAATCAAGGCCAAGACACCCGCTCCCCAGCAAGTTTCTCCACGAGCTGCGGCTTTGCTGGCCAGCATTAGCCTCTTGTCATTTGGCTATGCCCTGTATCGGACACCGCCGGCTGCTTTTGATGCCGCCGCCTCTCTGCAATCTGAAGATGAGGGATACGGCCAAGCGGTCCTTCGCGATGACCGCGATCCGAATCTGCCCCGGTTTCGCATGTCCGAGATCCGCAAGCACGATGCCAAGTCATCGCATCCCTGGGTCACCCACGGCGACAAGGTCTACGACATCACCGAGTGGATTTCCGCTCACCCCGGTGGCCAGGTCATTCTACGAGCCGCCGGTGGCTCGATCGAGCCCTACTGGAACATCTTCACCATCCACAAGAACCAATACGTCTACGACATCCTCAACCAGTACCTCATTGGCTACGTTCACCAGGCTGATCTGGTCGACGGCAAGCCCGCCCAGGAGACAATCGAAGACCCCTTTGCCGACGACCCGATGAGACACCCGGATCTCATCACCCGGACACTCAAGCCTCGCAATGCCGAAACCCCTGAGCAGGCTCTCAGCGCCCAGTTCATTACCCCCAATGAGCTGTTCTACGTCCGCAACCACATGTGGGTGCCCAAGCTCACCGCGGATGAGGCCGAGGCCCACGTCCTGACCGTAGAGTTACCCGACGGCACCACCAAGGAGTACACCCTGCGCGATCTCAAGACCAAGTTTGCCGAGAAGAAAATCACGGCTGTGCTGCAGTGCTCTGGAAACCGTCGAAGCCACATGAGCCGAGGGTCTAACCGTGCAACCAACGGCTTGCAGTGGGAGGCCGGCGCAATTTCCAATGCCACGTGGGAGGGTGTTTTGCTGGCTGACATACTCGCTGATGCCGGCTTTGACGCTGCCACCGTGAGAAATGGCACCAGCGAGGCGCAGCATGTGCAGTTCTCTGGTATGGAGGCATACGGTTCATCTATTCCCATCAAAAAGGCCGTGGATCCCCAGGGCGACGTCTTGTTGGCGTATGGTATGAATGGCAAGCCTTTGCCAAGAGATCACGGCTACCCCTTACGATCAATCGTGCCCGGACACGTCGCCGCCCGCTCAGTCAAGTGGCTCAGCCATGTCACTCTCAGCGATGAGGAAAGCCCTAGCCAGTGGCAGCGAAAGGACTACAAGTGTTTCGGCCCCAATCAGACAAAGGTCGACTGGGAAAAAGCCCCGGCCATCCAGGAGTTGCCCGTCCAAAGTGCCATCACCGGTGTCAAACTGGGCGAGTGGACGGCGCAGAGCCAACCGGTGCCAAGCAGCCCAGATGGGCCTGCGAAAGAAGTTGCCCTCAACGGGTATGCCTATTCAGGCGGCGGACGATCAGTCATCCGCGTCGACGTCTCTCTTGACGATGGAAAGACCTGGTCGCAAGCCAATCTGTTACCGGACCAAGTGTCAAAGTTTGATGGCAAGGCCTGGAGCTGGAAGCGATGGACATTTAACGGCGCGGTGCCCTTGCAAGCGTTTAAAACTCCCGAAGACGGTCACGACACCGATGAGGAGGAGAACACCATTAGGAGAGGCACTGCGAGAAGGTCTGCCAACGAGAGCACCCAGAGCGCAAAAAGCAACAGGAGATGTACCACCGTTGCCATCAAGGCGACAGACGAGGTGTACAACACGCAGCCCGAGAGTCATGCCGCGACGTGGAACTTTCGCGGGAACCTCGCCACTGCCTGGCATCGCGTGCAAGTCTGCACCGACTGCTCTCCCAACGCCATTGTTTTGAACAAGAAGAATTCGGGCGACAAGAAGTCATCATCGCATGACAAGTCATGATAGGGGTGCATGGTATGCGGATACTATTAGAACTGGACTTTTTTCCTTCTTTTTTTTTTTTTTTTTTTTTCAAGTCTGGGAGCGTGTGTTCTCTTATGACAATTCGTGGAACGGCTTTAGCTTACATGGCATATTATTTCTTGGTAGAGAGACTGGACTGGAGTTGGATATCATTTTCTGTATATATACCCCTTGAATAGGCCAAGACTAATGGATTATTACTTGAATAACTATCGTCTGCATTAGGATTTGAATGGTGCATTATCCACGTCGATTACCAGAGGCTGATTACAATCAAAATTGCCTATAACGATACTCGAGAGACAGAGAGATGAGACACTCATCTGTATCAAAATCATAGTGTCTTATTTTTAGGAAAGAAAAATATGCTGTGGGAACTTGTTATTTTCTTTGTATATTTTTATATTTTTACAGCATTGCACGCCTCTCCTTGCCGTCCTTTAAAGAAAAGGGCTTGTTCCAAAGTAGGGCAGCCAAGCCATGTGCCTCCCGCTCTAATCCGTATACCGATACAAATCTGCACCAAAAGTCACAGCCATTCCACCCAGGAAACCCATCGCCTCTACCTTGTATCATCCCTTACTCCTCCTCGTCCTCTCCGTCGGAAAAGTACTCAAACGCGTTGGGCACGGTGGCCTCTTCGTCTCCCTCGCCATCCTCGTCCACCGCCGTCAGCACTCCGGCGGCTGCGGCTGCGCCCGAGCCAATGTCGGCGCCTCCGGGAGTCTGAGGGTCTACGAGGCCAAAGGGAGATCGTCCCTGGCTGCGCAACAGCTGCTCCATGACGGGGTTGACGCCAGAGAGACCCCTGCCGGAATCGGAGATGCCTTCGAGGATGGAGGGGCCTCCCGCAGAGCGACCGGCTCTACCAAGTGTCTGTCCAGCCACGGGGGCACGCTCCGTGGTCACCTTCTTCAACTTTTCCTCCAAAAGTGTCTTGGCTTCATCAGGCTGAGTGTCGTCGAGGAGAAGAGGGCCGCCAGTTGGCTGAAGGGGAAAAAAACAAGTTAGCGTATGTTAAACTATTAGCAATCGGATGGGAGGAGCTTACCTTCTTGACTGGCTTGTATCGGCCGGTGGGGAAGCTGATGTACTTGAGCTGGCCAGGCAGAACTCTGCTCATATTCTCCAACTCGTATCCGACCTTTTCCTTCTCGGGCTTCTT